GGCTAGCTTTAATTTTCTGTAGCCTATGCAGTTATCTTCCATGTTGTTGTTCCATTAAACTGTTTGTTTCAAACCTCAGACTTGTTAAAAAAAAATGCGCCGGTGGCACCAGGCTACCAGAGTTATGTCTGCGCACAGCGCAGTATACTGTAATTAAAGTTGCTTGGTACTGTAATAAAATTCAGTAAATGCGGAACCTATCTGTTTCATTTCATTTTTCTCATTGAAAAACCACACAAATGGCATTTAGATGATATTCTGCATAAAAAATAAGTGAAATAACAGTAAATTCGGATATAGAAATCAACCACCTATAGTGTTCAAATTGGCTCTGGTCCAACGTGATCACTATAAGCGGATTCCACTGTAAAGACAAACTAAACTTTCCTGCAGCCTTTACTAACAAATAGATATATATATTCAAACATCTATGCTGTGTAAATAAAAGGTACGGTAAGTGGACAAAATCCTTTCAGGTTTGAGTTCTGGGGCGAACATATTTTACATGTCCTTACCTACTTTTTTCACTAATCATTCTGCAAATAAATGATATTTCAAACTACTAATATCCACATTTAATGAATTTATAAGTTATTATTAAAGTAGTTATTTATCTATCGAAGTTTGAACATTCCCCTTCAGAGTATTGCTGCTGCTGCTGTCTGCATTAGAGGGAAAAAATGGTAGGGGTGGCAAATGATTGGCTAAGGGTGGCCATGGCCACCCCTGGCCCCCCATCTAGCTCCGCTCCTGTTGACATCACATATAGTAATAGTTCTCAAATCTTGGAAGTAGGGGTTTGCTTTTAATTTTAATCAAATTTTACTTATTTGAGTATTAGTTAGAGGGGAAAATGCACAGAATGCACCAATCAGAAAGTAGTTTTTTATATATATATATATATATTTCTATGTATACCACTTAAAGGTTTTGAAAACAACTGCCTCAATANGGCTAGCTTTAATTTTCTGTAGCCTATGCAGTTATCTTCCATGTTGTTGTTCCATTAAACTGTTTGTTTCAAACCTCAGACTTGTTAAAAAAAAAATGCGCCGGTGGCACCAGGCTAACAGAGTTATGTCTGCGCACAGCACAGTATACTGTAATTAAAGTTGCATGGTACTGTAATAAAATTCAGTAAATGCAGAAGCTATCTGTTTCATTTCATTTTTCTCATTGAAAAACCACACTAATGGCATTTAGATGATATCCTGCATAAAAAATAAGTGAAATAACAGTAAATTCGGATATAGAAATCAACCACCTATAGTGTTCAAATTGGCTCTGGTCCAATGTGATCACTGTAAGTGGATTCCAATGTAAAGACAAACTATACTTTCCTGCAGCCTTTACTAACAAATAGATATATATATTTAAACATCTATGCTGTGTAAATAAAAGGTATAGTGGACATAATTCTTTCAGGTTTGAGTTCTGGGGCAAACATATTTTATATGTCCTTACCTACTTTTATCATTATTATTCTGCAAATCAATGATATTTAAATCTACTAATATCCACATTTAATGCATGTTATAGTTATTATGAAGACTCTGAAGACACTGAAGACTCCTTGATGACTTGCAGAGGCACAGAATTTCATCTTAACCCCAAATAATTCACAATTTAGTTCTGAAAAGAGCATGAATTCTGTATCTATCATCTTTAATCTTTAATGTTTGTATATTCATGTGCAAAATTAACCACAGTGTGTTTCTGTAGTAAGTATTTGTTAATATATGAAAAATTTAAATGTTTAATAAGTTTGAACATTCCCCTTCAGAGTATTGCTGCTGCCACTGTCAGTATTAGAGGGAAAAAATGGTAGGGGTGGCAAATGATTGGCTAAGGGTGGCCATGGCCACCCCTGGCCCCCCATCTAGCTCCGCCCCTGTCGACATCACATAAAGTCATAGTTCTAAAATCTTGGAAGTAGGGGGTTGCTTTTAATGTAAATCATATTTTACTTATTTGAATATTAGAGGGGAAAATGCACAGAAACCCAACCGATTTTTTTTTTTTTATACCGGTATATACATATTTTTCTATGTATGTACGTATACCACTTAAAGGTTTTGAAAACAACTGCCTCAATATGATAAAGATACTGCCGCTTTGACAGTTGATCATATTGAGATTGATCCAATACGATATCAGCACGAATCATACCAGCTTTTATTACTCATTTTGTACTAAAGCCGAGAACAATAGCCAAAGACAACAACACATGTGAGAAAAACTGACCCATATGATACTTATCTATCAGTTAAAGCACTTTAATCAGAAAACTTCTGATTCGCCATGCTTTTCAGTTTTTACATAGAAATCTATGTAAAAATCTGTAGGAGATGCTTGTTTGTAATATTTTAGATAACTCATTTAAATCCTTGTGTTCCCTGTGATGTCAGTAATCAAAATTTTGACTTTACAATTGGGGTTTTTATCACCAGAGTACATTTACTGATAAAATAAAGACTCAAACAGAAATAATCTTTCTAAACACTTCAATCAATATGCTTTCCCTATAATTCAGTTTATTCTTAAAATATATATATTTTTTTTGTCCATGCAGGAAAAAAAAATCAGTGTCAAGTTATCTCTCTGACTATTTTAAGTGTTTAATTCTTGACATTTGCTATTCATAAGACTTCTAGTTTGCAAAAAATGATCAGTGATATTCCGGTTATGTGTTACACACATGGATAGGTTGTAAGATGTGGTTTTAAATGCAAATTTTTCTATCTTTACTGTTAGTGCCGTTTAAAGACCTTTTCATTAAATAGAAGAGAATGTGCTGTGATGATTTAAGTTTTTTTTACCAGTTATAATGTGCACAGATCAACAAGCTCTACCCTCTTCCACACATTGCTATGCACTGCCAGTCAGCTGGCAGAAAGAATGTCTCTTGGTTCCCCTCCGTGTGCACAAGGAAGACAAATTTGTCTTTTGGTTTCAGAGCGGACATTACACTTGTAAAATTGAATAAATGGTTAAATACTGTCTTATGCTGAAGCTATTATGTTTTTCGTAAAAGTTTTATAACCTTGCACCACCCGGAGTTTGTGCCACAGCAGCTCTATTGGAGCAAGAAAATGCATCTTTTAGTACTATAAGGATGCATGTAGCACTCACTGTCATCAGCAGAGGAAAGCACATGTAGAATCTGAGAGGATGGACCAGATGATCGCAGCTTGTCAGTTTTATTCAGCACGCACCGTTTACTGAACTACAGAAGATGAAGTTCATCACTCAGTGGGGATGGCAGTCAAATGACACGTTTTAAATTAAGCTTACAGCTAAATTATACTGAGGTTCCAAAAAGTTGACATCATTAAGGTCAAACCTTGATTAGAAATACCAGTTTTATGGTAACTTGGTACAACAGAGACATATAAAACCAACATTTTTATGGTCTAAAAACTTTCATTTATGTCACAGAAAGGTAATAATAGTCTAAAGTGTTGCTAAAATGATTCAAGGTGTTCAGTGTTCAAGTAGAATATTGTCACACTGACATTTATTTGTCAATCCATAGAAGGACTTTAGCAAAATATAAAATAAACACCTGCTTTGCTTTTGTAATAATTCTGCTTTCTGCTCCCTTTATAGTAACACTGGAAGTATACTGCCACCTATGGCCAAACACAGAACTGCTATACTGTTCTGCTTGTTCCCGTAGTCCGCACTCTATGGCAGAGTATTAGGGCCAGGCTAGAGATTTATTTTTAATTCAAGAATAAAGTTGCAACATTTCGAGAATAAAGTTGTAACATTATGAGAATAAAGTCATAAAATTAAGAGAATATAGTCGCGACATTTCGTTAATAAAGTCGTAATAGTATGAGAATGAAGTTGAAAAATAACAAGAACGAAGCCATCATACCACTACCCGTTTCAGCAGGGAAGCTTCGAGCTCCGACCAGCATATGACGGCCGACCAGCGCCACCAAATAGCAACCTGACTCCACTTTGACATGCTGGCCGATTTGATGCTGGTATGCTAAAAAATGTCCTTATTTGTATAGTATAACTTCACAAGATCCTTGACATTCTTAATTT